CGTGAAATCATCAGTTACGGAAAGAATAAAAGTTATGGGAGATAATAAATTTACTTTTTTGAATTAAAAGTTATACAAAAAACAAGAACAATAAAAGAAATATGTTTAGTCCAATCTAAAAGTGTGCAATTAGCAAACAAGTATTTGAGTAAAAAAAATAATAATACTACTCGTAATCAGAAACTATTTTGAAACAGTAGATACGTAGTAAATAAACAACATCGTAATAAAGATGCTTTGTTCGACGCCATTACTCAGACACATTTTTTTGTGTGCCAACACACTTTGCTTGGTAAGTGCGTAACTATTGCGTGCGTTCTTAGATTTACACTCATTTTAAATTTCCTGCGAAATTAGCAGTTGTAACTATTTATTTTTTTATGTTTGGTTTTGCTGCTTAATTCTTGTCCAAAAATATTTACAGATCGTTGGACTGATTATGGCATTAATTTGTGCGCTTTTCATGAACTCGGTACAAAATACGCATTTAATATATTGCTTACTTGGATTAATGGTGGGCCTTGTAACGGCGCTGTCTGCATTGGTGGGCTATAAAGCTATTAAGCCGCCAAAGGCAGCGATGCTGTCGATGGTGAGAATTATAATATAGATATCTAGGAAGAAGCTCATTAACAGTTTTTTTAACCAACTGCCTTATTAACTAGTAAACACATACGTATATATGGGTCACTTGTGCTATACATACATACATACATATGTACATATGCAGCTAAACCACCTTCTTAATTGAACTAAATACGTACTTATATCTTTTTTTACCTAATTTTTCTAACTACATACATAAGTCCAAATCATTGCACAGGTAAAATTTTTGCCCAAAACCGTTACTCGGATTTCTCGACCGACTCGGCGAGGGCGATTTCCTTGTGGCGTGCGCCTTGATGTTGTTACACAAAGCGGAGGGACCTACAGTTTTACGCCGACTCCGAACGGCGATTGTATTTTTATGAGAAGCTGTTTTTAATGGCAGAAATACACTCAGAGGTTTGCCATTGCCCGCCGAGGGACGAACGCTTTTAAGAAACCCCCTTTTTCTATATTTTTTTGCGATGTTGCTTTTGACCAGGGCTTGAACTCAGGCCCTGCGGAGTGGTAGCGCGCACTGCTTACCATGATAAACTCGGGTCATTATGAACTAAGTTACAGGCTTATATCGCCGTTAAAAGTACAAAACCGCGTATCGTCATTCTGCAAAACCGCGTAACTGACATTGGCTGATAAAAATTGGATTTGCTCACATAAGATCTTGGCTCAATCCTTATCCATTCGTCCTAAAATATACCAGCCAGAAATGCGTTTGCTTTATAAAAAAGAGAATCATTTTGAAATATGAGTGTTTTTACTCTCTAGAAAATAATTTATTCAACCTCACATACGAGGTTTTGCATTTTGTTGATACGCGGCTTTGTACTTTAAACGACGATATGTAAGTTCGCAATAGTACGAAAGACTGGGTTTTTAACGGTAAATCAAGGTTTTGGGGGTGTGTGGCAAATTTCATATTTCGTTTCTTGTTTTACTCGAAAAGACCTACCAGAAAATATACATAACTTCACAGGTGTTTTTTAGTGTCGCACATTGTTATTAATCTTTACCATGCATTATTTCCCCCAGTATACATGACGATGTCGTAAAAGAGGTTAGTTTGTTTTCGTCTAACTACAAACTCGCTATTTATAAGTTGACTCGTAGTGTGCTAATTAATATCCTTATTCTATTTATTTTAAATGAACTATTACCTACTTGACAACTATTTGGTTAGCATATATAAAGCCCACTAAATATGTGCTATTAACATACATATGTACACACATACATATAATAATAATAATAATAGATTGGCGCTTACACATATGTTAGTGTTTGGCCGAGCTTTTCCTCCGATTTGTGGCTGCGCCTTGATGTTGTCACACAAAGGGGAGGGACCTACAGTTTTACGCCGACTCCGAACGGCGATTGTATTTTTGTGAGAAGCTGTTTTTCATGGCAGAAATACACTCGGAAGTTTGCCATTGCCTGCCGAGGGGCGACCGCTGTTAAGAAAAAACTTTTTTCTATATTTTTTGCGATGTTGCTTTAACCGGGGCTTGAACCCAGGTGCTTATGAGTGAAAGCGCGCACTGCTTACCACTACACCACAGCGGCCGACAAATAACTTAACTCAAATCCACGTTTTCTCGCTTTAAATAAAGATCGCTACGAAAAACGAAAAATCCAGATGTTGCAACCCTTGCGGAAACATGTGCAGCATTTCCAGCTATCAGTTGTTTTTCGAGGACAGCTGAATAATTACGAATTACGAGTTTCAAAAATTCGGGTTCTAGAATTAGGGTAATGGTACTGCGTTTTTTTATTTTAAGCGAGAAAACGTGGATTTGAGTTAAGTTATTTACAATAATGTAACCGTAAATATACATATGTATATGTATGTATATACATATGTAACATATGCATGTTAATAGCGCATATTTAGTGGAAAGGAATTAAAAAACACTTATCAAGTGCTTAAATGTTTATAATAAACATGTTTTGTAGTTAACGCTGGATTCTGTTGCATTTGGGTCATTCCATTGAAAAGAGGAAAACGACATAAATTTAAATATGCCCTAATTATCTCTATTTTAGTAGTAACTTCTTTCTAAATGGCTACATTTCATTAACCTGTGGGCAAATATTAAAAAAATCAAAAGAAATTGTAATTTTTGTCTATGGAAACTTTTACTTCATTCATAATTACTTTCCACCAATCCCAAATTTAAATATTTTTTAATATTCCTCTGAAGATTATATCAGCCTAATTTTTATTGAAGACGAAAGCGCATAGCTCGTATTTCACAACACAAATACATCGTTCCTGAAAATTAAGTTCTTTGGCTAAAATTCATCTTTGAGTGTACAAGAGTAAAATAGAGTTCTTTTCAGTGTGCCACCAGTCACATTCATTCAAATGAAATTGAGAAATCGTTTGGTATTTTTGTTAAAACAATTTTATACACTAGTTATCGTTCCATGTTAAATAATATCTTTCGCTGTTTATAGGTTTCGATAATTAAAATTTACAATTGATGACAGAATGGAATGGCCCATTTGCAATTATAGCAGCGGAGTAAGAGCGCGCTATAGAAATGAATTCACAAAGATATGCGGAGATGTCGCGCATAGTAACCATGAGCGCATCTATGTCTGCTTGTGGTTGGATTGTTGAACCACAAGCCAGAATTCCTCCTATTCCTGAAGAACTGATTCTCAATCCAGTTAACGCAATAACAGCTTATTTCAAGCCATTGAAAATATGAATTTTTTTTAAATCCACCACCTGTTGCGCTTGCTTCTGCCTTCGGCCGTGACTAGGGATTATAACCCTTATTAAGAAGAATTCTCCGTGATGCCGGAGAAGAGGGGCTTCCGCAATTCCGAAAAGGTATACATATATGTGCATATAACTCCGGCTACGCCATCCACAGTATTTTTGCGCAGAACCCACATTGAAATTTACAAAAAAGTACATAGTACTAACCGAATTTATTAATAAACTAGAGCTCGGAAATTTGCAACCTTTATTATACCTTTCATGAGCATGAAATGGTATTATAACTTTGGTCCGATGTTTGTAAGTACCAGAATAAAAAGACATAGACCCATTAAAATGTATACTTATATGATCAGAACGTCGAGCTGAGTCGATTGAGCCATGTCCGTCTGTCCGTCCGTTTATCTGTCTGTCTGTCTGTCTGTCTGTCCGTCTGTTTGTATGCAATCTAGTCTCTCAGTTTTCGAGATATCCTGATGAAATTTGGTAAGTGGGTGTATTTTTATATTGTATTAATCTGTCGGAACCGGAACAATCGGACCACTATAACATGTAGCTCCCATACAACTGATTGTTCAGATATGAGACTTTTCGTTATAACTCCTCCATTTATGCAGCTGGGAATATGAAATTTCGCACTATTTCCACCCATTATCAAAAGAATACAGTGAAAATGGTGAAGATTTGGTCGCTATAACCTATAGCCTCCATACAACTGATTGTTCAGATATGAGATTTTTTGTTATAAGTTATCCATTTATGCAGCTAGAAACATTAATTTCGCACTATTTTCACTCATTATCAATAGACAGTTTACAGTAAAATTAACAAATATCCGGTCGCTATAACCTATTTATTGCCTCCATACCACAGATTGTTCAGATACCAGTTTTTCGATATATCTCCTTTATGTTGGAAGCTAAACCCATTAAATTGTGTTACCGGTTTACATAGCGATCACACAGCAGTGAAAATCACTTAGATTGGTGCTATATAAGGTATATCTTTCATACCTTTGATTGTTTAGATATAATTTTTTATATATGTATCTCCTCCATCTAAGTATGTATGCCGTGAATATATACATTTTTTCAAATGCAGTAATCTGTTAAAGTAATATTTTCAGATGTTCATGAAAGGTATTAAGCCTTCGGCATAGCCGAAGACAGCGCTGCTCTTACTTGTTTTAGTTTAAATTTCAATCCTTTTAGCCCAGTTATGCATACTTGCACTGCTATACCATTTTTACGTAAGAATCAAAACCCAACAGAATTCTACATGCGAAGTGCTACGCTTTGGGTAACCGCATACACGCAAAGCCCATTTAACAGGTTCTTATGTGACAACTCTCATGCAACGCTAAGTATGCATAACTGGGCTATTTGACTACACGCGTATGTTAAAGTTTTTATATTCGGGTCATGGGTTTGGACACAACAACCGAAAAACATTGTGCAAATAACTAAATCGGACCCAAGTTTCTCGCTAAGGAGTAACGAACATTCTTATTTATTCGTTTATATAAAACAGTAAATAAAAGGCAAATTCATCTTTTTAAATGAACACCACTAATATTTCCTGCAAACACACGTCGATTTAAATCTTTTATCTCGCTTCCGGCACAGAATTGCTTTCTTACAAAAGTAGCGTTCCCCAACTGTTCTGGGTTAAAACCTGTAAAACTGTCAGAAGGCAAAAGAAGCCAGAGAACCGAGTACGGGAACGCTTTCTGGTAAATTCCTGTAAATTCTTGCAACTTCTTGCGAGTTAGGGAACGCAACTAAAATTAAGCAAAGAAGCTGTCAATTTCTTACTCCTTCGTTTTCAGGCATGCCATTGTTACGAATTTTGAAAGTTCGAAAATACGATTCGGATTGCAGAATAATATATCTACGATTCGTAGTAAAATCCGAATACGAAGAGTTGAGGAATAGGGGTGAATATATATACGTACATACATACATTATACCATGGCAAAAACCAATCTTACAATGCATACATAATTGTCTTTTTTTTTTGTTTGAACACAAGTTTTTTTGTTGAAAATGAAAATTATGATACAAATTTTACACATATGTACATATTTCTTTGGTTAAACCCTGCATGACTTTGAATCCAATAAGAAAATTAACCGTAATAAGTGGGCCAAAAGTTGGCTATTTTAGAAGTCGACAACGAATTCCCGAAATGTCAAAGTTTTATATTTTTGGTGGGTTTTAGTAAAATGTGTTGATATTTTATAATTTTTGCACAAAGTTTGAAATGTGGATTTATGTGGTGCTTGTTATATAATGCGCTAGACTTTTATGAAAAAATATTTAAGATCGAATAAAAAAATATCTAAATATAGCCAAAACTAGTCAAACTAAAGTTTCTATTATATCTTCCATCACTCCATTTTATTGTTGAACTCAAACACACTGAACAGATAGGTTACTGTCAATATATCGATGGTCCTGTGCAATAACGACACAACTCAAAATTAAAAAAATAAAAACTGTTACTACTGTTAAGTGGCTCTTGTCTCTAATCCTTGTCTAATCCATTGCTAAAGTAAGTAGTTACAAGATATTAGACATGGATTTGACAAGGATCAGAGACATGAGCCACTTAACAGTAGTAACAGTTTTTATATTTTGAATTTTGAATTGTGTCGTTATTGCACCAGTACCATCGATATGTGGAAGCATTAAATATCTGATTTATTTTAGAAATATTAAATTTATTTAACATATGGCTGAGGCTCAAAATTTAATAATAATATTTAGGGCTGGATTTGATTCCCGGCACGATCAACTTCAAAAGCTTTTTCCTAATAGCGGTCGCCTACTAAAAGGAGAACCACCGCGTTAATTTTTGTCGTGAATAACAGCTTCTTTTAAGTATATAGTTAGCGTTCGGAGTCGGAGTCGGCGCAAAACTATAGGTTCATCCTCTTTGTGTGACGACATCAAGGCGCACATCACAAATCGGACAAAAAGCTCGGCCAAACAATAACATCATAGGGATATTCTCTTAGTCTTGCAAAGCCCTTGCATGGTGCACAGATTGCACTTAAAAAACAGTTTTCATATGACAGCTTTGCAAACTCTGCAATTTGTGCACCGTTCAAGGGCTTTGCAAGACTCAGAAAATACCCCTAATGAGTAATCGCCAATCGATTATTATTAATACTTGAAAGCTTTCTGCAAACAGCCAGACCCCGAACACACTTCATGTGTATATTAGTGATGTAAATTTTCGATACTTTCAAGTATCGATCGATACTCGATACTTTTGCATTATTCCGTTAAAAATCCCTTATACCAAAACCGATAAAAATCGTATGACCTTTAATATTATGTTCTTACTCATAATGACTTTTTTTAGTAAAAATGTTTTCATTCGAAAACTTTGCATAAAAACAACTGAACTGCTGTTGAAGCTTACTGTTACCTATATATACTTATATATATGGGGATATACTTTTCCCATTCTTTCCAACGCTAAAAACTTTTGTGAGCTTGCTTAGAGTTTTGATTAAAATCACTCCAACGAGAATTTCAGCTTGTTTGATCCAAGTTGTGTTCTGGCAAATTATAATTCTGACACCTGTTTATACACTGTTCCTCAGCCATTCTCCATTCAACCATTGTAAATTTTGCAACCCGTTACTTTGCTTTGGCGACGCTTGCTATGAAAATATATTTATATAACGATGATGTTTGAGTATCGAAGTATCGAAATATTTTGTCAATGCTTACCGAATACTCAAATTGCTCAACAGTATCAAATACATACTATTCGATACTCGATAATATTCACATCACTAGTGTATATGCATAGTTGTGCTTAAGTTGTCGGACAGAGCGTATGAGTAACTCCTTAAAATTTTTAGTCTCAAAATATACGTAAATATGTATATAGTATGTATGTCGAACTTTTTGCAAACTTTGAAGGGCCTGGTAGAAGTTACTGCCAACGAGGAGTGTCTGGCAATACTTAATATGGCGCTTAGAATACTAATATTTAATATTCTCTAAAATATACATACTTATGTACATAGATGCATTTACAAAAATTTGAAGTTTGAATTTAAATAAAGAAGTTAATGTTTTAATTGAATTTAATCGGACTGTCTACTCAAGCTGGCGGTTAAGTGTACATAGTCGTGTACATTCCGGACTTAAAAAAAATGTAAAACAAAAAAACATTTTCTCACAGAAAAAATATTACTTCTCCCGAAGAAAATTAAACAAGAAGATTTACATCGCATTACCTGGGTATTTTACATTTAATCGGCACCGATATATGTATGTATATTATCCGGGTACCCGGGCAAATCGGGTAATGCCCGGCTTCACGGGTAATAAAAACCTCGGTTAAGCGGATTCGCGGGTATCATCAGTCCTACTTCCAACACATTTTTTGAGAAGAAAATTTGTGTTTAAATGGCATATAAATTTTAAAAGCCACTTGAGAGACAGCCGTTTTATAAATATTGCATTTTTTAGTTAAATATCTCATACATAGTGAACAAATAGGCAAAAATAATTTGAAAAGATTAGCTGGTGGTTCACTACCGTCATCTTTTACATCATCGTGAGCGTTCATAGATACCACAGGAAACCCCCTTACTTATAGTTGCATTTGATTTGATATCTGTCGAAAGTACTTTGTACCCAATAGTATGCATGTCTTTAACTTACTATTAGGGCCGGTTGCTCAAAGCATGATTAACACTAATCATCGGTTAACATCGTTATCGACGTTTTCGACTCCATGCATATAACACGGTGTCGGTAACGTCGATAGCGATGTTTAACCAGGGATTAGTGTCAACCAGGCTTTGAGCAACCGGCCCTTAGTCATAAGTAATATTTATGCAAAACAAAAGTACCGGCTTTACATTATTACAATTTCGTTTCTTTTAAGTATTGTGCTTTGTTTACAATATTATGCGTCACACAAGCTTATATTGTTACACATCTCGCAGCGAGCAATATAATCACAGCCACAGTTCAAAATGTGGAGTTGCTTTGGGAAAGAGAAATGGTGAGCGAAGGTCCCATGGCGAGCATTGAAAGTCGGGTGAGTATATATAGTATGTATAACTTTTTTAGTGCTCATGCTTAAAACCCTTAGATCTTCCGAGATCTTTGAAGGGATTAAAAAAATATTTTGGAGTGAGGCTGTCACCTTTTTAAATAGTTACAA